AGGTGCAAACAGTGAACATTTGGTTGTTACAAACACACACAGGCAAACAAACAGAAACAGGGATGCAGACAGATGCAGGTGGTGCTTGACCATTTAACACTTTCATCCTGTCCAATAACCTCCATAAAAGACACATTCATTACCTGCAGCCAATGTAAGAGACATCAGCATAGAGGTGCATTTAAAAAGACAGATAGACACTATAAGAAAAGACTGAAAGGCTGCATAGTGAATGTATAGATAGATTCCAATTGCTCAAACTGTAAATCCTGGCCATGCGCATCGTTATTTATCTCCATTAAACCACTTTCAGACTGACAAAGTGAAGCAGGTTAAAAATGCATTGGCTCTCCACCTGAACAGGCCAAAGCATTAACTGACTCCGATTTCTAGCCATTCTCCATTATTGTTTAAAGGTTATATATATATATATATATATATATATATATATACAAACACAATTTTAACCCATAGACTCTATATAAAAATGGGCAGACGGTAGGTCCAGAAAGTTAAGCCAATACGGAAGTGCCTAAAAACCTGTGCTGTTTCTCGAATGACCAGCAGAGGGTGATTCCATTTGTTGCAAAAGTTGCCAGTTTTATAGAAAATTATCCAAAAATGAATTTTCTCAGCACTTCTGTCAAACTAGTTTATTCGAACCACATTGAAACTTTAATGTACTGTTGGACATCTTGTAAAAACATGAAATTAATATAGAGCAAGAGAAGACAAAAACAGGAAGAGAAAGGGAAATAAAACTGCTTTATCTGAGTCTTATGTCTTTCTTTGCAATTAAGTTAAATTCTGCAGTTTGGCATTAAATTGTGGGAAGCGCAGAACAATAGTTTATTTTACACTCTCACTGATAAACCTTATAATACAAAGTCAATGCAGGTTGAGCTGTCTTACAGTTGGTAGTGTCATACCCAGGTCACCTGTAGGAAAGAGATAATAATAGCTTAGTGCAGTGAGCATCATGTACGTGTGAAGCAACTTATTTAAGGTTAGGACTGAGGGTCTTTCAAGAATGAAAGAGACACATCTCCTCAAATATCATCAGTGCTACCATCTCAGCTTTTATTCCATCAAATGCAAAGACTACCAAGCTGTGTTGGGAACTAGCTTTTTCTTGCTGCTCTATACTACTGAGCAACAGCAAAGTGAGGTAAACAAGAAGATCCTAACACCCCCCCTCTCCATCTAACACAGAGAGCAGCTGTGAAGAAGTCGAGGCACAGATTCAGAAGACAACATAGAATAGTATATGTGGGAGACGACAACCCTGCTGTAACAGGGGTGACACTTTGCTCTGCCTGTAAAAGTGTGCTTCACCTTTGAGGTTGTGGAGAAAAAAGCTCACTCTTAAGTTTATGCTTCTGCGTCACGTCGGCGCGGACCCCTACGCCGTAGCCTGACGCGCAGCTCCAAAAAATCCTAACTACGCGTTGCGTTGACGCGGACCGCAAGCGCTGTGATTGGTCCGCTCAGAGTGTAAGTTCCGGCAGTTGCTTTATCCGGTCTTTCTTCCTCGTCGTACAGACCCCCTTCGCAAATGTCTTCTCTGTCGCCTGCGCTTCAACATTTGCAATATAAGCATTTGTTCTTCAATATTGATGAGCTCCAACACCAAATACAGCAGCTCCACCTCGGTCGCCATTGTTAACTGTTGTTTACTTTACGGAAGAAAAAGCAAGGATTCGGCTATAACCCCTGAAACCACACAAACACACAGCCACACCCCCCTAGCGGCATGGTGGTGAATTGCAGAGCAACGCATTCCCTCGACGCAGAACTTCGAATGCTCAACGACGGCGTAGGTACGGCATCGACGTGACGCAGAAGCAAAAACTAGGCTTTAGGGAGCGATCACACAAACGTGAATGCAGGCAAAGTCACAGGTCAAAGTTCACCACAGCTGAATGCCACGCTGAGCCATGCTACAGGATGCAAATGTTTTATTTGCCCCCTCTATCGCACAGATTGGAAGTGAAAGGATCACCACTGCTACATATGTGTGACCGTGCTCTGAAGACGTTCTCAGACATGAACTCCATAAACTGTCCCAAAACTCGGGTGTGGACAATTTCCACACCATCATTTCCTAAACTCATTTCACTCATGAGGAATGTAGCAGGAGATTTTTGATGTGTTCGCACAAAAAGGAAAATGTACGGAGCATTCAGAGGAGGGGTGGCTGTGTTGTTGAGGGTTGTCTGTGTCAACTTCCACACAAAGCTCTTAAATCGTTGTTAATATCTTCGTCAACGTCTTTGACGTGTATGGCACCTCTTTTTCAACCTGAGATGTTTGACTTTTTTTTTTTTTCACTTTTACATCCATCACATTTTAGAAAGGTCATAGACATGACAAAAATCTTCTGAATATTTTACTTGAGGTCTAGCGGGAAAACTTGAGGTACAGTAGCAACTGATTTGGACATTTGTGTTCTCACATACAGCCCCCTCTGGAAAATGTCTGGACTTCAGTGTATGTCAGAAAGCAGCTTTAGATGCCATCTTCACGGGCTCGACAAAGTAGATAATTAATCAACGAGTGTAAGAAAAGGAGGAAAAATAATTCAAAAATGGGTTAAATAGTGTAGACAGGAAGAGGCTCTTATTACCATCTGAAGAAAGGCCATTGCCATTAGATTGAAATTTAATTTACGAAATTGTGTTTTAATGCAGCTGTTCACCAGCAGCCCATTCCAAATACGCTTCCTGTCAGTGCATTTCCTGAGGGCCATTTAATTGGGCTAATGAAGAAAGCTGCTAATGGCTGGGTTTATCTCTGGCAGCGCTGGTGACATTTCATCAAGGCAGGTGATTTTGCAGGCATTGTTTAAGCTCAGTGTGTAGCATTTCATTGCTGGAGAGGAGAGAAAATAGAGACACAAACATGTTATTTGGACAAATTATAAAAACCTGTGGTGGGAACAATGCGGTTCTGAGAAAATGGATAATTCAGCCTCACACAAAAGCAGACTGAATTATATTCTAATTATTTTCCAGACATGCTGCTAATCACATTTGGAAAATCACTTTGAAAAAACAAAACTGGCTTATTGCTACTCAGCAATTTGTCTTCAGCTTTACAATTCTGGGAATGTCCACAAATTACACTGAAAACTGGGAAAAGGACACAGTGAGCAAATATGCACCACATTTGAACAGAAGTTGGAGCACGCACACTGCAGGCACACACACACACACACACACACACACACACACACACTCTCTCACAGCATGCAGATAGGAATAGTGATGTGACATTTACCTTCATCGGTTATCAACATCTTGACATTAGTACATCAAACCTGCTGTTTCATAATGAGCTTCAGTCGCCATCCAGCTAACGAATGATTCTGACACTTCTTGTCATTCCCTCCTGTCAGAGAAAGGTCAGTGGCAAAGTCAGTGGGGTTGAGACCCATGTTTATACATGGATGGACTACAAGATTAAAATGAACAAAGCTGACATGTTGAAATAGCAATAGCAAATGAAGGGCATGAAACTGCAGCTCTATGACAGAGTCAGTGTCAAGTGAAAGAGGGGTGGTGAAGCTCTTTAATGGATATTAAAGAAGTCATATTTTTAAAAGCTGATTAATACAAATCTATGTGAACTGAGGCTCAATAATAAGCAATACTGTTATGGTCGGGGGGGTCATTCTATTGTTTGAATTCATTCTTTATTCTTTTTCATGCACAAGATGTCCGTCCAGTGTGTATTCCTGCACACTCTTTTCTGTTTCTCTGTTAAAGTGGTAAAGTGTGAATGGTGGTTGTGTGTGTGATCTGTTCAGGTTGTCTACCCCAGCTCTCACCCGGTGTCATTTTTTATTGTATACGAACATAAATTATGCTAATCATTATACATTATATACTTTAAATACTAATGTCCCATGTGATTGTTTCTGCTTCTCATAGTTTTTCTATATAGAATTACGGTTTATTTTTCAAAAAGCTATGAGATGTAGGCACAGGAATGGGGGATTTTTCTTACTATGAAACTACACACTGTGTAAAGTACACTCCAGCTGAGGAAATGAACGCGTGGAACATTAAAACAAATATAGTCAGATGGATAGTTGGATAGATGGATAGATAGATAGATGGATAGATAGATAGATGGATAGATAGATAGATAGATAGATAGATAGATAGATAGATAGACAGACAGACAGATAGATAGATAGATAGCCTGGTTCTGCTACAGGTTTCTCCCTGTTAACGAGGGAGTATAAAATAAGTCTATTCAAAGTGCTTTCTTTTATATTACACCCATTATTTCTCTTTTGTGAATACACTTACGCACGTGAGCTTCAGATTGAAAAGTGGAGAACACACACACACACACACACTAAAGTCAGTTAATTCTTCTGACTGTGTGTGTGTGTGTGTGTGTGTGTCCTTTAGATAAATTACTAAACCGACATTTTTTTGAATCACCCCTGCCTGGCCCCTTCCTTCTCTCTCTCTCCCTCTCTCTCCCTTTAACCCCCCCCCCTCTCTCTCTCTCTCTCTCCACGTCTCCTCGTGGTGCATGGTATTCAACGCACGGTTTCCGTTTTTTTTTTCTGTAAACAACAATGAAGTGTGATATTTGAAAAAAACAGACTCAGCCACCGGGCTTGAACCGCGAGCCACCAATCATCTCCGGCGCGTGTTCCAAAAAAAAAGAAAAAAAAAGAAGCGGCGTTTGAATCCCTCCCTCTCTGCCCTCCTCCTCGCGCCCATTGGCTGCCAGAGGAGCAGCGACAATGTTTAATGCACCATGCGGTGTCCGGAGTTGAGTCAGTGAGAGGAAGCGCTCAATGTGCTCAGGGCCTGTGTGATGCGCAGAGAATACTAACCAGCGACCTGTGCGTAACGCAGCCAAGAACATCCACCTTTTTACCCGCGCGTTGACAGCTGGATGGAGACTTGTGGCAGACTGCGGCTCTGACCACCACCTTCTCCTCTTCCTCAGCAGCTGTCTCCATATCTCTCTCTCTCTCTCTCTGTGTGTGTGTGTGTGGACTTTGATGGGGACGGCGCACAAGGACAAAATGCCACTAAGGGGAACAGTCCCTCAGCTACGTTTGGCACCGGTTGGCTTTTAAACACTTTGGATCTCGCTGCACATCTGGATTTCCCCTCATCTTCTTCTCATTCAGTATTTCTCCGAACACTTTTCCTTCCTGGAGAGCGGTGAGTCACTGCAGGCGCAGGGCGATCCGCTGCATCCTAATCACACAGCGGAGAGGACTTCAGCTCATTGACATTACAGTCATACTTTTCTGGAGCACTTTTCTTTTTTTTTCATTTTCTCTCTGCGCCGCCTGCACTGTAGCCTGCGTGTGGATTCTCCACTTCTCTCTCCTCTGCTCAGAGAAGGTGGAAGGAGGATCCGGGTGGGAACCTACACTGAAGTGTTCAGGGGATGAAACTCTCCGTGAACCCTGCTGGAACTGACTGTTTTCATTTTTGATTTTTGTTTTTATATCTTATATATTTTCCGGGACTATTGCATCAGTTTGCTTTTGGGGGGTAAGTTTAAATCATGTTCTTTTATTCTAATCTCCCCATTTATCTGTTGCTCTTTTCTCCAAATGATTTTTTTTCTTTATTTCTCAACCACCCATATTCATACGGATGCAACAGCTTCCTCCGGGGAGACAGGAGAGATTTAGACGACTGTGCTGAGATGTTGGCAGCTCATTTCTCTATTTTTCTTTATAAGGCTCATTTCAAATATCCGGATTATGCGGATTTGTTAATGCTTGTAAGAGGCTCATTTTATACACACTTATTCAAATTGCCACCACAATAGGCCTTCATTTGAACGCCTGCAGTGTTACCATATTATTAAAGTTGTCCTATTACAGTGTCAGTCAGCGTTCCCCTAAGGAGTGAATGGTCCATTGTCAGGTCAGGGTCAGGTCGTTGCATTGCATTGCACATTTGAGATAGATTACAAAAACCCTGTATTCTTGTGTTTACAATAATACATGTGGTGAATAAGCTACATGGGGAATCATTATTTCCCCTTGCATCAGGGCTGCGCCCCGTGTCTTCCCAAGGTTAACTAATTGACAAGCTTCTCCCATAATTGTAGAGATGAATTACACATGAGCCGTGTTTCATTTTTGGCTCAGTGGTGGATAGGATTTCTTTTTGGCAGAAGGGCTCATGTAGCTTTGTTTTTATTGGGGTGACTAATTGACAGGTATACATTATCATAACAATTTTTTTTCTGTTTTCCTTCTTAGGTGGTATGAGTGATCACTGACAATGACTATTCTGTTTGGAGACTGGATCGCGATTACTGCTCAGATGAGTCTGGACGCTCAGCTGAATATAAATTAGGTGTTCAGCACCACAGATTGCTCTAGGAGGCAGAGGAAGAGAGAGACAGAGCATAGACAATCCACAAAGACAAATGCCAAGGTCTCGCATGATGAACAGAACTCTTTTTTTCATCCTGGATAACAGAAATACCAAATTTGAACAAAATATCAACAGGTCAAAGGAAGCTTAAACACAGCACATTTTAGCGTATCGCAGCATTTACAGTATAGGGATGTATCTTTCTATTTTCTTTTTCCTCCTCTTATGGGCTCAAGCCCTGACATTGAAAAACTTGAATTACTCTGTACCAGAAGAACAGGGTCCGGGGACAGTGATTGGGAACATTGCCAAAGATGCCAGACTCGGACTCGAACAGACTGGACAGGGAGGACAGGGTAAAAAAGCCAACTTTCGGGTGCTGGAGAATTCAGCCCCACATCTCATTGACGTGGACCCCCAAAGTGGACTGCTGTACACAAAGCAGCGCATCGACAGGGAAACATTGTGTAAGAGAAACCCCAAGTGCCAGCTATCAATGGAGGTTTTTGCCAATGACAAAGAGATCTGCATGATCAAAATAGATATTCAGGACATTAACGACAACTCACCCAATTTCCCCTCCGATCAGATAGATATTGACATCTCAGAAAATGCTGTGCCAGGCACACGCTTTCCCCTGACCAGCGCGCATGATCCAGATGCAGGCGAAAATGGTCTGAAAACCTATCAAATAACCCGTGATGACTACAATCTTTTTTCCTTGGAGGTAAAATCCCGCGGGGATGGGACAAAATTCCCAGAATTAGTTATTCAACGACCATTGGACAGAGAAGAACGAAGCCATCACACCCTAATTTTGTCAGCCACTGATGGGGGGGAATATCCTAGATCAGGTACCATGCAGATTAATGTTAAAGTAATTGATTCAAATGATAACAGTCCTGTGTTTGATCAGCCCTCATATGTCGTGGAAATTCCTGAAAATTCACCTCCTGGTAAAGTCCTTATCGATTTAAATGCCACAGATCCTGATGAGGGCAACAATGGACAAGTAGTCTATTCTTTTAGTGGCTATGCCCCAGAGAGAATCCGGGAGCTCTTCTCCATAGATTCTAGAACAGGGGTCATAAAGATTCAGGGTGAAATTGACTACGAAGAGAGCCCAGTTATCGAGATTGACATTCAGGCAAAGGATCTAGGTCCCAATCCAATCCCAGGCCATTGTAAAGTCACTGTTAAAGTGCTTGACAGGAATGATAACTGGCCATCTATAGGCTTTGTGTCTGTGAGACAGGGAGCCATCAGCGAGGCAGCACCTCCAGGCACTGTCATTGCTCTGGTCCGTGTCACAGACAAGGACTCAGGCAGGAATGGGCAGCTTCAATGCAGAGTCCTGGGTAATGTCCCTTTTAAACTTGAGGAGAACTATGATAACTTCTATACAGTGGTGACAGATAGGCCCTTGGACAGAGAGATGCAGGATGAGTACAATGTCACCATTGTTGCAAAAGACAATGGCATCCCTCCTTTAAACTCTACAAAGTCCTTCACTGTAAAGATTCTGGATGAGAATGACAATGTCCCTCGCTTTACCAAGTCAGTTTACCTTCTTCAGATTCCTGAGAACAACATCCCTGGGGAGTACTTAGGCTCAGTCCTGGCACATGACCCAGACCTTGGCCAGAATGGCACCGTGTACTATAGCATAATCAACTCCAATGTGAGTGGGGGTGATGTCAACACGTATGTTAATGTGAATGCTGCCAATGGAGCCATCTATGCTGTGAGATCTTTTAACTATGAGCAGATCAAATATTTTGACTTTAAGGTTCTTGCTAAAGATGCAGGATCTCCGCATCTGGAGAGTAACGCAACAGTGCGCATCAGTGTTCTGGATGTCAATGACAACATCCCTGTCATAGTCCTGCCTTTACTCCTAAACGACACCGCTGAAATCCATGTGCCACGTAATGTTGGTGTTGGCTACATAGTCACCACAGTGAGGGCAGTGGATAATGACTATGGCGAGAGCGGGAGGCTAACCTATGAGATCTCAGATGGCAATGAGGAGCACCTCTTTGAGATCGATCCAGTGACTGGGGAGGTGCGAACAGCCCACCCATTTTGGGATGATGTCAGCCCAATAGTGGAGCTGATCATCCGAGTATCAGACCACGGCAAGCCAACTCTCACTGCTGCCGCCAGACTCATCGTCAAGGCTTCCAATGGACGCCCTCCTGATGGACTGCCTCGCACAAAGGACAATCAGAATTGGGACATGTCTCTGCCTCTTATAGTAACTCTAAGTATTGTATCCATCATGCTTCTGGCTGCCATGGTGACCATAGCTATCAAGTGCAAACGGGAAAACAAGGAGATCCGTACCTATAATTGTCGCATTGCAGAATACTCGCACCCTCAACTGGGGAAAGGCAAGAAGAAGAAGATAAACAAGAACGACATCATGCTGGTGCAGAGCGAGGTGGAGGAGCGGGATGCCATGAATGTGATGAATGTGGTAAGCAGCCCTTCCTTGGCCACCTCACCCATGTACTTTGACTACCAGACACGCCTGCCACTCAGCTCACCACGGTCAGAGGTCATGTACCTCAAGCCCACTGCCAATAACCTCAGCGTGCCCCAAGGCCACGTGGGATGCCACACCAGCTTCACAGGCCCAGTCACCAGCACTACAGACACACCTACTAACCGCATGTCCATCATACAGGTAAGAGAAATTGCAGTGTTCTCCTTCACCGTTTTCACCGTCACAACCTTCAGAAAGGTCCCATTTCCCTTTATCAACATTTGCCCCCCTTCCCCTCTTTTAATGAAAAAAAAGAAGACAAGGACAGACAGAGACGGAGAAGCCCAGGAGCATAGAGAGAAGTGAAGGAGGGGAGGGGGGGAGCATTAGAAGGATTAAACATTCAAGTCATTCTAGTGCTCTCATAGAACACAGCCAGTGACATCAAACCGAATCAGTTGGGTTTGAAATATGTCACAACAGGCTCTTTTAAATCAGTTTTCCTGTAGAAATCTTTCATAAATCACTCAATCACTGTCATTTAATTCCTCTGGAAGAAAGATTTTTGAGCAGTTGCATTTGAAACTACCCAATTATCCCATGTTGCATGTTCTATTCCAATAATAAGTTTGTCTTTGAAAATGTACTTACCTGCATTTTGTGTTAAACTACCTGTACATACTAATTGTTACAGCTATAATGTTATATAATGCCAGTAAAGTCACTCCAGGGATACCTGCTTTCTTTGTTGTTCAGCCGCTGTTTTTAACATCACATCAGTCGTTATAGTCTACAGTTCTTTGGTTAATTCTACAGGTTTTAATTCCTAGAGATTAACAGTCTACTCATTTTCACGGCTACGTTATACGCCTTTATGAGAAGTACTTGGGTGTATAAGCCTCTAACGTGATAACTTCTCTGTGTCTTTGGCCTTAAGCCCATTAAAAGTCTGTCGTGTCAGACGAGGATTAAGGCCTGCTTAAGACGGTGGTATGAACACTGGGGACAATGGGCAGCTGTAGCAAAGGGGCCTCTTTTTCTGATTTTTACCGGTTGACAAATAAAGAAATTAAGATTCCTTATATTATTTGATAGAAGCAATAGTTTCTATGAGTTTTATTGCTATTACCTTTTGCCAATGGCCTTGTGCTATTTTTAGTGCTATTTGATGATTCTTTTATTTGCATTTGGGTGCAGGGTAACTGTTAGTTTCTCTAGTGAGCTCTGTCGTTTCTATTCTACTTTTTGCACTGGCTGTGAATGTGACAATGACCGTGATCAGATGTGATGTGTTCCCACCAGGGAGGAAGGCCACTGTCTGTTGTTCCCACTCTCAGTCTCAGCCCTGTTTCTATTATGAGCCAGCTGCATAGGGCAAGGGTTAGCACAAAAACCGTTAAGGCTCCCTAATCAAGGGGACAGAATAATTGCTGGTCCATTATGCGGACTGTTTCTCTGCTAATGTAGTGATGATGAATTAGACTGTGTGAGGTTGTTGCACACCCATTTTGTGCACTTATTTCCTCTCCCCCTTCAGACTGTCAAAGGGAAAACAAGCAGGAGCAGCAACAACACATTCCTTAGTGTCTTGTTTACAGAGGGTCCCCTCGACGCATCAGGCGTGCAGGGTGCTCTATTGTATTATTCAACAGAAACCTGTGTAGAGGAAGATGGCCTGAGGCATTAAGTTTCTTCAGAAGCAGTACAGAAGCGTATCACTTTTCTCCCTCGTCCCTGCCTCTGCCTCCTCTCCGCATTTGTGTGGACAGTAAGTAACCTGAGTCAGAGGAGAGCAGCTATGGGAAAAATGTCAGGAAACAAAGACAGAATTCCCCTTCCATCGATCCCAAGGCCTCCCAGCCCATCTGTCACTACAGGTGCCACAGGGAGAGAGGTTGAATGGGAAAAATAAATAAAGAGATGGATAAAGCAGGAGAGCATATCACCTGCTCATTCACTTTCAGAAGGGTACCTTAGTGCTGCTGTCTTCATCTGTACCTGGTAGTGCTACTGTAGCTGCCTGCAACTCCCAGTCTCTCTCCACACTGCTCCTGGCCTCTAATGATGTTTTATAGTGGTACACTGGCAGACAGACTGGGCTTGGTCTCTAGGTGGGAGAGGGGAATAATATGAACATATCAGCCGAGCTCTGCTGGCCTTATCATTGTCACCACCGTGCCAGCACCCGGCCCAGTGGAGAGTTTCATTTCATTTGTAAAGAGAATTCCTGGGATAAGGAGATGGATGATACGTAATGATGCCTAATTCCGCTTAAGGCGTTGAAGGGAATTACTTAGTGTGGAATCAAGGTTAAAACCAATCTGCTGCAAAATTCCTCAATGCTCAGGAAGAAAGGATTTCAGTAATTCTCTCCAAAGAGTGAGCCTGCGCCCACTCTGCCTTGAATACATTTTAGGATTTTGTCCCACATTATGTTCAGCTTCAGCAGCTGTGTCACTGTGACTACGGCCCACTGACTGGTTCATAAGTTCCTGGTTAAAAAGCTGTCCCCATTGTTACCAAACATTGAAAGACTCTTGCCATTACTTTTAAATGTCCTGTAATTAATTGTATTGATTTGTTTTGATAACTTTTGAGTGATATAATTAGATTCACCATGAAACTCTAATTAAAAAGAATCCTATCTCGGTGAGACACCATCCATGTTAATAAGATGCAGGTGGTACAGAGGCTTATGGGATTGTGAATGGCTATAAAAGCTGCCTTTAGGTGGCGGCATTCTGCCTTGTGTGGGGTGGCATTGAGGTGTGGGTGTCAAGGAGAAAAGGGGGCACCCGTCTCTGCTGACTTGACATTGTCATTTGATAAGGAAAATCGTATGGCTCTAGTGAAATTTGTCTGACATAAATATGTAACAAACACATGGAATATAGGATATTTTTGTCTGGAGTCGCCTGTCTGACAGCATTTGGTACAGCTGTTTAGAATGACAATTGTGGAATTTTTCCACAAAGCACTGAATCGATGATAAATGATTTAAAATTTGCTAGAAAACCTGGCATATTCTGACAGATCATGTAAGAATTTAGTCTTTGAATGCTTGCTTTCTAGAAATGACTGACAGCCATAAACCTATTGAGTGAATAATAATAATAAAAAAAAAAAAGAGGTGTGACTGTGATCATTCAGTGTGCACACAATGAAGTAACTCCTTTGATCTCTTTAGGTTGAGCATATGCATGCCAACAATGTAGCTGGAGCAGATGTTGAAAATGGATGCTTCCAGGAATGGTCTTACTCTGCATAATTTAGGGATATTGTGTGGGTTTGCGTGTACACGAGTGTGTGTCTGTGTGGGTGTAACGTCATTGTGTATTCCAGGCATGTGATTTAAGCCTTTAGCTGGCAGGCTCCGTGACAGAGCCCCTCTCTTTTTATGAGCGTGACAATCTTGCATTTGTCCGAACCTTGAAACACCCTTCCTCCAACAAACACATAGACACGCTCGTACACACACACACACAAAAACACACACAGATGCATATGTGCTTTTTTTAAGGATTCTACTGAAAAGTCTTATCAAAGCCTGTGCTGTATATTGTATTGAAATTGCTCCCACACTTCAGTGGCCACTGAGGCAATGAATAGAAAAGCGTTCTTTATTTCATTTCTCTCCCTCTCTCTTCATCTTTAGATAACTTTACTCTGGAGCTTTCTATAGAATGAGTTTGGTAAACCTGTATGTACTAAAGCCCACTCACTCACAGGATTGAGCCCCTCAGCAGCACGATGCACAAACAGTCATTTAGAGGAATGAGGGACAGTTCAAGAAGCCATTTGTAATTTATGTACTTTTGTCCCTCAGCTGAGTTCTTCTGGGCCACTAGGCCACATTTGTTTTATTTGAGCTTGCCAGTACATAAAAAAAATAAATAATCAGCCCGCCTGAGGGTGTATCTTCATATTTCCTCAAATAAACCTGCTGCTACTGTACATAACACTACACGCTGAAATTCTGAATTATTAATGGGCAGTTTTATTTTTCTTCATCTCCCCCAAGCTCATATGATAGATGCAACTAAGAGGAAGAGAAGTCAGACCACAGAATGTTGCTCCAGGGAACGACACTAAATTATGTTATCTTTGAATAAGCAAAATAGGGGAAATTTTGTAATTGAATCTTTCTTTTACTAGCTGCCATTACTGGTATTGTTGTTGTGTTACTTGTTTCAGCTCCGACGTCTGAGCAGCAGTGTAGCACACAGCACAAAACAGCAGCTATATTTGCATCTTCTTTCATTAATAAATCATAACGTTTAACAAATCAGTGGAAAGTGGAAGATGTCACGACGAACATCAGAGGTCTCGGAACATGAGGGAAGAGGAGGGCAGAACACGGGGTATGTGGGAAGCAGAAATTGCTAATTTCTTTGGAGAGAACCAAGAAATGAACGCCCAAATACTGATTATGTTTGCAGCACAGGGAAAAGTAGAAATTAGTGTTGTAATCTCAACAATTTAATTAGCAATGAAATTAAGAGTTTGGTTTAAGAAAGAAAGACTTTGAAAATCTGCTCTAGTACTAAGATACACCACGAATATCATTAGCTGTTATTTCAGTGAAAAAACGTTGTACATTCTTAGGGTGAAAACTCTTTTTCCCGATTCCTTGTCTGTGGCATGTTCTTCAAAGTTTTGCACAGTTAATAGTTTATTTTTAGAACATTATTAAGTAACCCCAAAAATTTGTTCTCGATTTGAGGTTGCAGTGGAAGTCAATCTTTTATTTATTGAAAATTCTGAGAAGAATCCCTCTGTCACCTTGCTAAATAATGGAATATGAATATGCCCTGACTTTGCCCACAAGTAGAGGCAATTTCTTCCCGTTTATAACAACTGCAGCTTTAAAACAAGTTATACATTGATGGATATAGGTAGACGCCTGGAGTCATTAATGAATGTCTGGTCTCTTCTTGCTCAGCAACAAGAAATCCTTTCACCCAGCTGTTGTGCAATTGTGTGGACACAGCTCTTAACTGTGCAGCACAACAACAAAGGTATTTTGTTTTTCAAGAACTGTGGAGAACGAGACAGGATATGAGATCACAAGTTAACCTCTGTTACGACCAGATTGGCCGGACACATTTAACCAATTTGTTTGGTTGAATAGGAAGCAGCCTATTGGAGATGACAGGCGCACGATAATAGGACTGTGTATTGTTCTCTCTCTCTCTCTCTCT